GATTTGACCACACCAATCTGTGATTATCTCCCTTCTTATTAAGGTTGACATAAAATGAAATATAACATTCAAAACCAGATTTTATGCCTCCTTAACCAATTAAGCTATCATAATTGATAGAAAATGAAAAATAAACAGTTTGACCATTACAGCCGCTTTTAACAATATTACGCCGCGTCAGCTTAATGTGTGAGGAAAGCCCGAAGTGATGCAGGTCTCTACCATATCGGTGAAACCCACGAGCACGGGTATGGTGCCGACAAACCTAGAAACATAATCGGGTCGAACCAGGATTCGAACCCACAATCATAGGTTTCTGGCGCGCCCAAGGGAGGCAACTCTGCACAACGAATCGCGGCGACATTGACGACTGGGCCACCTATGCCCCCTCTGGCATAATAATGTTGAGGACACCTTTCATAGATCTTTGTTTTAATCCGGTGAAGCTTAACTTGTGTATGCATCAGGCGTTTACGTCAAAGGAGAAGACAGTTTTGTTCTGAACACGCTTCATTAAATACTTGTGTCTCCTGGTGATTGTGAAGAAAAATAATCAATTCGTGAAATGTTCCTTTGCAGTTTAACAAAGTGGTTTGTATAAAAGCCATGAACTTGCTTTCTGACAATGTTATCATAAATTACTAATATATGCATATGTCATTCATTTAGATGTATGGCCAGAACGATATATTCCAGCCATCTTCTCAATGGCATCACAGTATACTCGTCAATGGAATTTAGCTTGCGACATGAACAATATTTTCACTGAAAAGAACCAGATTGTATGTCCATTAGATTTGGGAAACGCTATGCCGTACGTTTCCGTAACGTATTATAATATTCAAGAATATGCATATGACACCTGGCTCATCACTATGTGAAAGTGATTCACAAACATATGCTTATAATATAGTTGAAATGCTCCAATGGATTCTGACTTTAACAGAGATTTCATATGTTATGGAAATGGTTCTTTGTCCTTTATTCTTGTTGATGAATATTCATTGCGATGTGGCAGTAGTAATACCAGAAGATTGTTATTTGGGCGAATCTGGGATTCGAACCAACGATCATCTGTTCCACGCAATCACCCATGTCACCGTGCCTGACCACCGATCAAGGTAGTCTTCTCTTAGAAAGGCAACGGTCGGTGGGTACCTATATTCTAACCTGGAATCCTACACTTTCTGTCTGCCCGGGTCAGAATAGGTCTCCAGGTTTTTGTCGCATTAAGCCACTAAATTGGATCGGTTGGTCAATCTCGGTGATCCGACGGTGTTGCACGTTGTTCAATTTATTAACCGCTGTGATCTAGCTGAAAATTGCGAACTCGCTAGTACTTGGTTTATTCATGTTTCAACAGTAAATATGGCTTTTCGCTTTAAGCATTTGTGCGTGTAGCATTGCGCCACAATCGACTTTTACAGTTACATGACGACCACCTGTAAATAATCTAACCTTTACCATCAAATCCAGTGATTGATATTGTGACCGACGATCCACGCCGTCGGGGTACGATGACACGCAATCAATTAAAGCATTGAGCTTGAGCCCCTATCTCCAAGGGAACAGTTATAATGGGAAAGTAACACCAGAAGTCGGCTTCACACATGAATATATATGTCAAGAAACATCAATTACCCGCTAACCTCGACAATGTCAGACGCCAAGGTACGCATTGACCTTATGTCAAAGATGTTTTCTCTGAGCTCTGACTTCTTAGTGTAAATTATTTCTAGGTTTTGTGACAAAGCGGAGATTTAAACATTAGTTATTAGAATGTGCTTTTGGGTCCTACAAATTGAATGGATGAATTATTCAAGTACACAGGACCGGTTTTGGTATCTGATGAACAGAGCTCATAGAAATCTCAGGTACATCTGAACGGCAACACAACCAAATGCCTATCGATTCCCTATACATTAAACATATCTCCTCAGCGTATGTACCTGTTAAACAGGTCTCAATCAATAACCACGTATGTGTAGGGAATAAACAAACTGTGTTTTCAATGTAGAGCTGGCTTCTGCCATGACTTAATGAAACGCGAACTCTTTGGCGTCAGCTAATATACTGAGTGAAGCGGCATAGGTTGAGTCAAATGTTTTGCGTGGATTGTCAATCAGAATGTACGGAATCACCGACAACAGCCTTTTAACAATATATGGCGATCTTCATGTTCAAGCAGTTTGTTTACACCGTAACACCTCACTCGAAGTTATGACAGGACCTTGAAAGCATGTAGCACGGCAACTTCGTAAACTAACATGATTTGGGCCCTCCGAAAAAAACTGAGCAACCCCGGCAAAGGTTTAGTACTACGCCGCACGTCACTGTATCGCTCATTTTGACTCAAAGGTTATGACGGCACAGTCGTTTATAGAAAAAGCGTCAAATAGCAAGCTCTCTGTGGTTCTCAAAACTTGAAATATATTCTCTTTGTAGATCCCTATGGTGCTTTCTGTACGAAATGTATTGCCACACATCCTTTGAATATTGTAGTAACTTTGCATTTTGTAGTCTATAATTGTACATATAATTAATTAATATTGCATTCAGACAATGACTGTGAAAGAAGTATTATTCTCAAAACAACAGCTTCCGCGGCCTTCAAATCGTCAGTTTGACAAAAATAAGAAGGGATTTGTGAGTTGATAACCTCTTATTGACCAATCAAAATCGAGTAGATTACAAATTCATTGTAGAATTGTTGTTTAAACACCGTATTCAGCAATGTTCCAGGTTTGTGATGGCTGTCTGTAAATAGTCGTGTCTGGACACCCGTGCTTGATATAAACAATAATCCAAACCCTCGGGGTTTGATAACCCACAGTCAACCTGGACAAAGCGATCTTATCGCTACGACTATTGTAAGCCTATCTTAAAGCATGGGAGTTACGATCATCTTAGCGCTAAGATCGCTTTGTGCAAGTTGGCGGAGGTCGTCTAACCATCTGATTCAGTGATTCGCATTTTACTACAAGCACATGTTGATTTGGGCCAATTCTTAATACAATTAGCACTACCATGTTTGTGCCCCGGTTCTCCACGGTAGCATTTGCGTATGATTACCATGCATAAGCTTAGGGGTTGAAATCTTTCATTACTTTGACGAAAATGATCAAATGTATTAGGCTAGCGGTGCTTATCTATTTCACTAAAATACATTATCATGGCAACCATTGGATTGTCTGGCCCGGACTTGATGATTTACCTCAAGCACATACATCGACATACCTCAAGCACATACATCGATATACCTCAAGCACATACGTAAACATACGTCGAGCACATACGTAAACATACGTCGAGCACATACGTAAACATACGTCGAGCACATATATCACCATACCTCAAGCACATGGATCCCTTACTAACCATCTATATTTATCACTATACCTGAAGCACATACATCGCCATACCCAAAACATATACATAGACATACCTCAAGCACATATATCACCATAACTCAAGCACATACATCGACATGCCTCAAGCACACACATCGGCATACCTGTACTGAACTTTATTTACACTCAGCCCGCTATCAGCGGCATCAGAAATGCAACATTATTTCAACAACATAATACATATACATATAAATATAAAATATCTACAAAAACATCTTGGCCGAGCATGCATGCATGTTTATACAGATTTACTATGGTAGCAATATATATGCAATTCAAAAAGAGGGAGAGTTACTTGATGACTTTACAGAATTTGGACATTTTTCTCAATGTTCCTAGTCGTGAATTATTGCAAAGTAAATCCATTTTATGCATATTGGGTTTGACGTAGTAGAATCTGTGTAAAAATGTTTTCCTTCGTTTTCTAAGATGGACAAATAAACAAATCATGGAATTCATTACTTATGTCAAATAATTTGCAAAGTTGGCATTTCCTTTCGGTTAAAGGTATTTTTCTCCCTGATTCAACAGGTAGATTATGATTACAAGTTCTAAACTTAAGTAAGACTCGCAAAGCGTTTTCCTGCAGTACGTTTAAATAATATTCAAAATTTAGGCAATAACTTTTTTCATGATACTATACATTGTGCCTTTTGAAGACTTATCCCTTGCACTGGTCCAACATTGTTGGTTAATGTCATTTAATATTTCATGGACTAAATGTGTTAGGTAAGTAGGACTTTGTGAAAACCAAATGTAGCTAAGTCCAAGTTCATCAAAAGTTCGTTTGATATAGGAAATCCATTTATGTTTACATTTTCAAAATAGGTCGTCATTAAATAACAACTTGTATACAAGAAAGGATGATTTCGATGATTTCCCGGAAAGTAATTTTGCCCAAAACTTATCTTTCTCATTTTGGCGATGTTTGATAGATGCAGTCTTCCAAGTTCCCCATGTACCATGACATTTGGAGTGCATTTTCTTAATGATAAAAGATATTTTAGGAAACTCAAATGTACACCTTCTAGAGCTGAGATGTTTTCAAATCCCTATACTTCGCATCCGTAGAGAAGAGCTGGTACAACCATACTGTAAAAAAGCCGCAGTTGACATTTAAGTGACTTCCGTCCTTGGCATAACACATTGAACATAACTTTCGATGCTTGTCCTATTAGCTTTTTCTTTATTAAATTGAATTTTGATTTTTTTTTTATTAAGATAACACCAAGGTAGTTATAGGAATCAACTTGACCAATTTTGAAATTATGTGTCCATTGCCTATTACTTATCTATGAGAACTTAAGTACTGGCCTTACCATCAGCGCTAATTACTGTAAAGTGTTGGCTTCCTTTGTTAGGTTCTACCCTTTGTTATTTTCCACCTTTTGTTATCTTGTTAATTTGTTATCCTCTCAAGTACACATATATGCTCTCTGCCTTACCGCATTCATTCACATGATGAAGGAGTAAGCATTGTTCCGAAACGTTGAGTTCCTCACAATAAAGAAGACATCCATATACATTCTCTTCCTTATATATATTTAATGTACTGTAATCTGGTGTTTCGTGTGTTAAAATCGATGTCGTCTGCAAAGCTACAGTGAATTTTAAGTACCTGCAGGCTGCTTGGGTGTGGAAGCTGAGATGTCGTCTAAGCTTGCTGAAATTATTTTTCTAATTTTGGGGGTCGTTAAGTTTGTTCATTGTGACAACTGTTTTGATGTAGCCACTGCAATCCAGCATGACAAGTACATGGAACACCAGATGTTTAGAAAGTTCAGGAGTCCGTCTCCGTACGCCTGTGCATCTGCATGTCTTATGTCCTCTGCATGTCTGTCTTTTGGATTTGACATGAAAACGCGCACCTGTCTACTCAACAGTAACAACAGTGCTAATGGAAATATTGTTGACAGAGCCGGATTCCTGTTCAGTGACATCCTCCACTGGCCCAAGGTTTGTACTTACATCTGTTCGATTTACATGGAAGGGTGAGGATCCTCCGATGTCTATCCCTTGTGGTGCGAGGCTCCCAGTCAACCATGTTTTACTTGACTGTGTAGATTTCCCCAACACAAGCTTAAGGGATACATATTTCAACGCATTATCTTTAAAATATGTTTTCAAACCCCTTTTAATTGATAACTTTCAAAGGACATTACATTGTTAAATAAATTTTGATTGATATGTTTTGTATGAAATAAATGACCTCAATAACTTGATAGACTGAATTAGTAACTGAGATTGTGGATCTAACTTCAAACGGGGTAGAAGTCGTTTACAACAATTGTCCCCTGAGAGAGTTATATGTGCGTGAGACCACGTCCTTCAAAATGTGTTCATAGTTGTAAATATTGCCAACAATCGCCAGATGCTAAGGGGCCGTGTATGTCGCAAGTACCGTACGTCCCGGCCCCATGACGGTTCTGGGCCGGGAGAGCGAAACCTAGCCATAATGAACTCTAAAATCTCTTCGCTTTCGTGAAGATACAGTGAGACTGGTCACGCTACAGAAAACACGGGATATTGCTGCACCGGGACTCTCAAATTACAAGAAAAATACAGATATGCGTATACCGTAATTACAGTAGTAATTTATTAGATGCTGAAGTATAGTATAGTTGCACAAAAGTACTTTACATTTAACAAATTTAATAACTCTAATACTTTAATATTATTAATATATTAATACATTATAATTTCTACAAAAACAACAATAACTTATATCTTAAATTATAATGGTAAATACATAAATACATTCTATAATAAATTTGCGGTTGCACTGGCATACACGTTGTGTTCAAGTGATTCACTCCATGTGGATCAGGTCACCAAAGTGATCTGTGTACTCAACGTCGCCGATGACGTTGTTGGCGAGATTGTCTTCCAGAGCCTGAACAAGTGCTGACCACCTCGCACGGTATCAACCATGGTCACTCTAACTTGTGCGTTAGCCATTTTGGACATAGATAACTTACTTACTTACTTACTAACTTTGGAGATTTAACGTGCGCTTTCCGACTGATGCGTATTTCGCACACGGGCCCGGACAGGCCATTTAATGTGTTTCTGAAAGGGGCGAAAGTGGTGTGTGCAACCAAAGAGGGGGCTTTAGGGGTTGCTTGTATAGAATTTGGGAATTTTGAGATTTGGAATAGATGCCGATGGGGTTGGGGAGGAGAATTAAGCTTATTTCTGGGATTTTGAGGGATAGTTTAGCTGCTTTATATATATTACCGTATATTCCTACGTGGGCGGGTATCCAAAAGAATGTTATCTGTTTGCCTGACTTAGTCAGGTCGTTGGAGCTTTTAAGTATTTGATTTATTAATTTAGGTCGGTTTTGTTTTGGAGGGCTTGCAGTCCACTTTGGGAGTCGGTAAGTATTAGGATTTTTTGTGGGTTTTTTTATTCTTGATTATGGAGGGCTGAGGCCATGCCCATTAGTTCTGCCGTGAATATGGATTGGTTGTTTGGGAGTCGGAAGGATTGTGTGGTTACTTACTTACTTTGGAGATTTAACGTGCGCTTTCCGACTGATGCGTATTTCGCACACGGGCCCGCTAGGCCATTTAATGTGTTTCCGAAAGGGGCGAAAGTGGTCTGTGCAACCCAAGAGGGGGCTTTAGGGGTTGCTTATATAGAATTTGGGAATTTTGAGATTTGGAATAGAAGCCGATGAAGTTGGGGAGGAGAACTAAGGGAGCTGGGTTTGGTGGATGATTGTTTGTTTATGTAATTTTGATTTGGTAGATTATAGTGTTTTTAGATGCATTTTATTAGTTCCGTTTTGATTAAGAATACGCCTAAGGCCTTGAAGTTTTCTAGTTATTTTGTGGGTTTAGTATTACTTCTAGAGTGAGAGCCTTGTTTAGATTGAGAGTGGTTTGTAATGCGGTTCGATGTGTTAGGTAGTGTGTGCAGTGGATTAGTGCGTGTTCTGGGGTTTCTAGTTGTTTGCAGTGTTGGCAGTTACCTGTAGTATGTTTTTTTAATTTTTTTAGGTGGTTATTTAGGTTGGTGTGTCCTATTTGGAGTTTAGTGATTACTCTGTCGATTTTTTTTGATGGATGGAAAATTTTTGGTTTGGTTAGTGGTTTGCTGAGTACTTTTTTGATTTGGCTATTTGAGTTTAGATATAGGTTGTGCCATTTTTTGGTGATTTTTTGCTTGTTTACGCTTTTAATTTCTGATTTTGAGATGGGTAAGTTTAAGCTTATTTCTGGGATTTTGAGGGATAGTTTAGCTGCCTTATTGTGTGGTTTAAGTTGCACTCTTTATATATACCCTCAAATACATACTGTGTGTGTTCTTAAGAAACGACTCTCCTCTAAACCCATCGGTATCATAACCCATATCAACTAAGAAACTGATTGTTTGTTCAATTAAGAAACTGATCATTCTTCTCCTGTGTTTAAACATCCAACTGTATTATTTTTTTTACGAAACGACTCTCTAGCAAATCTCCTCTCCTCTGTTTGAACAGCACGGGCGCTGATCTAAACTACGGTAATACGGTGTTTTTATAGCAATTACTCATTTTTCGCTTTCGTGGGACAAATACCCCAACTTGGGTTTTACTGATACTAGGAAAAACTGGATTTTCGCTAACCCGGCACGACACCCCCATGGCACCCTGCTGAACATGTTGTTGGCGATGTTTAGCCCGAGTCAGTCAGTGTCTTTAGTTTTGATTTTGGGATGTTTTTTCAGGTTTTTTTGTTTAGTTTGTTGTTTAACGCCGCACTCAGAAAATTCCCGCTATATGACGGTGGTCTGTATATAATGGAATCCGGACTAGACAATCCAGTGATTGATGTCATGAGCATCGATCCACGCGATACGCCCAATTTTGCTTCCACGTCACCGTAAGGCACCATTCGTCACCACTCGCATGTTTCGGTAACCTACAACAAGGCTCGTTCCCATCTTGAAGGCCTCCATGCGTCGTTGTCTTTGTTGTTTTTTAAAGCCGCGCTTTGCAATATTCCTGCTATATGACGGCGGTTTGTAAATAATCGAGTCTGGACCAGACAATCCAGTGATTGATATCATGAGCATCGATCCACGCAATTGGGATACGATGACATGCATCAACCAAGTCAGCGTGCCTGACCACCCGATCCTGTTAGTCGACTCTTACGACAAGCATAGTCACCTACGGCAAGAATGGGTTGCTGAAGACCTTTCTTTCCCGGGTCTTCACAGGTCCACACAGGTTGTAATCTGAAGGGGAGGACTGATGTAAGGGAGATATTATATTCACCGAAGCTAGAATTATTCCATGATGAATCAGTGTCATTTTCAGATAATATGGCATTGTTATGTGTCGTAGCTATGACTATGTTAGCGATTAGAATGATGTGCGCCAGTTATATGAATGAATCCATTCTGATTTAAATGTGAAACTAATCGTTGAATGATATATATATATATATATATTCACAGTATCATCTACAGTTCCGTACATCATGGTGGCGTCTTGATAATGTATAAGTCTACATTCCCCCATTTCTAGCTGGTTTGAGACAGAGAATGTGAGTCAGTTGGTGCTCTCACGGACCGGAATATGGATAACTGATCCGTGTATGCATATATATCTGTGCTCATGGGAATTCTCTGATTAATGTCACATTTGTGTATCGTACCAAATAAGCACGCGTTTTCTGATATTAATGAAATGATACTTAACTACAACTCGCTCTCTTTTTATTTCTAGTCTCTCTCCGGTCCATGTTCTCTGATGTCATGCCCTGCTAATGCCCGGTGTCAAGTAGACAGACTTGATCGTGCAACTTGTGTTCCAGGTAACTAACTATATTCCATGTATTCAATACCAAAGAATTAATGGTAGCATTCCAAAAGAAATTTCTCAAATCAATTGACGAAATCAATTTGATTGAAAGATGTCGGAGGATGTTTGCAAGGTTTTTTTGTGTATTCGGGTCATCTGATACTAGCTGTGGTAGTAGAAGTAGTAGCATTCACGACAGCAGAAATAGCAATCTGCTAATGCGTCCATGACAGTTGAAATAGGAATCTACTCATGTATCCATGACGGCGGGGCAAGGAATCTACTGGTGTATTCATGACAGCGGGACTTAGGATCTACTGATGTTTCCATACAAGCGGGGCTAGGAATCGACTTGTGTATCCATGACAGCGGGACTAAGGATCTACTGATGTTTCCATGAAAGCGGGACTAGGAACCTACTGGTGTATTCATGACAGCGGGACTAAGGATCTACTGATGTTTCCATGAAAGCGGAACTGGGAATCTACAAATGTATCCATGACAGCGGGACTTGGAATCTACTGATGTATTCATGACAGCGGAACTAGGAATCTACTGATGTATCCATGACAGCGGAACTAGGAATCTACTAATGTATCCATGACAGCGGAACTTGGAATCTACTGATGTATCAATGACAGCGGAGCTGGGAATCTACTGATGTATCCATGACAGCGGAACTAGGAATCTACAGATGTAGCCATGACAGTGGAGCTGGGAATCTACTGATGTATCCATGACAGTGGAACTTGGATTCTACTGATGCATCCGTGACAGTATAACTAGGAATTTACTGATTTATCCATGACAGCGGAACGCGGAATCTACTGATTTATCCATGACAAAGGAACTTGGAATCTACTGATGTATCCATGATAGCGGGACTAGGAACCTACTGGTGTATTCATGACAGCGGGACTAAGGATCTACTGATGTTTCAATGAAAGCGGAACCTGGACATTACTGATGTATCCATGATAGCGGGACTAGGAATCTACTGATGTATTCATGACAGCGGGACTAGGAATCTACTGATGTATTCATGACAGCGGAACTAGGAATCTACTGATGTATCCATGACAGCGGAACTAGGAATCTACTGATGTTTCCATGAAAGCGGAACTGGGATATTACTGATGTATCCATGATAGCGGGACTAGGAATCTACTGATGTATCCATGACAGCGGAACTGGGAATCTACTAATGTATCCATGACTGCGGAACTTGGAATCTACTGATGTATCCATGACAGCGGAACTGGGAATCTACTGATGTATCCATGACAGCGGAACTGGGAATCTACAGATGTATCCATGACAGTGGAACTAGGAATCTACTGATGTATCAATGACAGCGGAACTTGGAATCTACTGATGTATCCATGACAGTGGAACTTGGATTCTACTGATGCATCCGTGACAGCGGAACTTGGAATCTACTGATGTATCCATGACAGTGGAACTTGGATTCTACTGATGCATCCGTGACAGTATAACTAGGAATTTATTGATTTATCCATGACAGCGGAACTCGGAATCTACTGATTTATCCATGCCAGAGGAACTAGGAATCTACTGATGTATCAGTCAGGGGAACTTGGAATCTACTGATGTATCCATGACAGCGGAACTAGGAATCTACTGATGTAGCCACGACAACGAACTAGGAATCTACTGATGTAGCCACGACAACGAACTAGGAATCTACCAATGTATCCATGACCGCTGAACTAGGAACCTACCGATGTATCAATGACAGTGGAACTTGGAATCTACTGATTTATCCATGACAACGGAACTGATAATCTACTGATGGATCCATGACAGTGGAACTGGGAATCTACTGATGCATCCATGACAGTTGAACTGGGATTCTACTGATGCATCCGTGACAGTATAACTAGAAATCTACTGATGTATCCATGACAGCGGAACTTGGAATCTACAGATGTATCCATGACAGCGGAACTAGGAATCTACTGATGTATCCATGACAGCGGAACTTGGAATCTACTGATGTATCAATGACAGTGGAACTGGGAATCTACTGATATATCAATGACATTGGAACTGGGAATCTACTGATGTATCCATGACAGCGGAACTAGGAATCTACAAAGGCACCCATGAGAGAAGATCTCGGAATCAACATGATTCATGACAAAAACCTTGTAATCTACAGATGCACTGGAACCATTATTCTTCCTTTGTTACTATAGCAGTTTTTCAGCTGTACAAAGGATGTTGATCTGTAAATAATCGAGTCTGGACCAGACAATCCGAGTAGTGGAAATCGTGAGCATCGATCCAAAATTCTGGGACATGATGGGATACAATTAACCAAGCCTGACCACCCGATCCATTCGGTCGCCTCTTATGACAAGCATAGGTTGCTGGGTACCAATATTATTACCAGGATTTCCGAGACTATTAACTACAAACTACTGCTGGGATATTGCTGACTGTGATGTGTAACAGCAACAAGTACATTACACATTATGATAACATTACTATTAATCTACTGCGTCAATAAGATAACTTTTCATTTCTGTTCCTGTGGCCTTGATTTCATAACTGTTATTGAAATATACTCTGCAAAGAAAGAAACGCAAAAGTAGTAAATCGTAAATATCTGACAAAGCGTTGCCGACATTCCTTCAAAATAAATACCAAAAATGAATTGGTCATTTCTGCACAGAATGGGATTGATTTGTGTGGAAAGAATGAGATTTGCAGAAATGTGATCAAAAGACAGAAAAAATCGGAAAAAACACAACGACGTGAGAAGCTGGCGCCGAAACACACCAACATGACATGCACGTGCAACATCACTTTTCATTTGCATGCAATCACAATCTTACAGCAAGTGATCAGCGAAAACATGCCCAGTTACGGTAGCCCAACGCAACAACGCCATCGGCCGACTGCAAACAGGAGAAAAATCTTCAGCTGTAGCCAGTTTTTTTCCACGTAGCACCACGCAGCATTACAAGACTGTGGAACCGTTACCAGACACACGGGACAACACGTGACCTTCCCAGATCCGGTCGACCACGTACACTACTGCCTAAAAGTTCATTCCTCTAACACGCGTTTAGAACGCGTGTAACACGCATGTGACACTGGTGCTCAACGGGTTGCACACGGGTTGAGCACCCGTTGAACACGTGTGTGCAACAGGTGTGCAGCGCGTGTGCAACCCGTTAAGCACGCGTGGGTCACTCGTTGCAGACGGGTGTGCCATGCGTGTAACACGGGACCGGGTTTCACCCGTCATAATTAGTGTTCTGTTGCTGGACTTTGATGGAATGAACCATTCCACGAGGGTCCAGTCTAGCCATTTTGGCTATCCGACAGTAGAACAGTAGGGAATTGAGAAGCGACTTTATTGCTCGGGGAACCCCCGAATTGACAGGATTGTCGCGGGTTGGTAAATGTTCGCCATTAATGAAGTGATTGTGTGTGGATTGAGGACATATTCGTTTTAAGTTTTGCCCACATGAGTAATTCCAGGTGACTGCAAATATAACGTTTTTCGTTCGCCAAAATTATGATTTAGATAGTACAATTATGATAGAACCGTCACCACTACTTATTTCTTATTATTTCACGTAGGAATATGTCCGACTTTCCCACACCCCACTTTCTGTTTAGTATTTTGTAAAAATCATTAAGCGAAAGATTTGTGTGGGACTCTAACATTTATCACTAATTCTAAGACGATATTGGAAATGAATATGAACAGCCATGTTGATAGAATTTGAGATCTTCACAATCACAGGGTGAGACCATTGAGACAGATTCTCGTAAGGGTTTGTGATTTTTACATTTGCCCAATGACCCTGCATATGGTAAGTGTTGCTGGGGATATCAATGGTGAAAGTTTACTATTAGAGGAAATTGGTTGTGAGTACTTATGCCATGTGGATAGTATATCTTTAGGATGTTAATGTTTTGTTGTATATCTTATATTTTTGTTACAAACTATCTCTTTTTGCTAAAAGAAAACGGATATAACCAATCAAATGCCTACATTATTATGTAGGCTAAACGGTCATGTTATAAAGTTAGATCGCAAGGGCGAAACATTAAAGTAGATATACGAGAGTTGGGACACTGGCTGTGTAACACCAAGATATGCGGTTTGAAATCAGTCACTGACATGGGAGATGAGGTTAATTAAACACACAATTTTGCTTTCGCAGTATGCGAACTGGGGAGCCAATATACATGTATTACACGCATTCACACACGGAAGAAATTTGTAGTTGATATAGTATTTGTTTTAATTAATCTGAACACATGTACATCAACAATAAGCAAATTAACATGGAAAGTCCATGGAAAATGCTTTGTTGCATGTTAATGTTTTAACTTTGACATAATATATCATAACAGAGTAAGAGAAACTTTGGGATTCCTCTTGAAAGTACTTAAATAATAACTGTTGCTTACTGAACAGAGAGTGTTTTATGATAAAAACATTGACTATTATTTTCTTCTCTCATTTTCCAATGTAGTTCACTTCAAAATTCTTCTCTTTTTCTAAACTGTTAAGAAAAACGTTAAATTAATCACAAGGTAATGAGCCTGTTGAATGTTACCCTGTGGGATCTGTCACATCTATCACGGATTTGACACTATCTACAGGTTCAGCCATTTCCAATTACCTCCACCAGAAACGTTCAGGAAAATATTTCCTTTCTCCCTTAATCCCATCTGTCATGCATGCAAAACATATACTTAGTGAGATCTTTATATAATCCATACAATAAACTAATGTTCATTCATTAAGATATTGATGGGTGTAGGAAACAGTCCTTTGAATTTTATTGTTTAAAACACTCACACACACATTTATGAACAGTTTGAGAGATTATAATAATATGAATACCAAAAATCATCCCCACTTGCCAAGTTCACTAAATGTCAGCAGTGGGAAGTTGTCACAGATAAACACGGATGTTAACCAAGTCTGGTCTTCTTTTACCATGGAATGCAGCGCTTGTTGTA